TTCTCTTCTATATGTGTGTTTTTATAGGTTCTTTATTCATCTATATTAGTCTATTTGTCTATATTCTAAAATCACAGTGTTTAATTCTTATAGTTTCCCAACAAATCTTTATTGGTAGAGCACATCTCCATCTCTTTTCTCTTTCAAAATTATTCTGCTTCTATGGATACATGGATTAATTTGTGGGGAGGTTGGCGTCTTTGTGAAATTATGATTTCCCATTCATGAACATCGTCTGTCTCTTCACTTAAGTCTTTTTTATTCCTTTAGTCAAGATATATCATTTTGCCCTGAGATATTTTTTTATTTGAATTACTCATTGATACCCCATTAAGATTTGGTACCTCTTTTAGACCTACATTCTTATAGTTTTGTTATAATCATGAGTGGGATCTTTCAAAAAATGTATTTCCAATTGATTATTACTACTGCAAAATGGAGCTAATGGGGTTGTTCTGAGAAATTCGTATAAATCCTTTAGTAAGTGCTTGCTGTACATCAGGCCTTCTCTAAGCTTTCTCTGTCCTTTCCCCAGAAAGGAGAAATAATGTAGAGTTTTAGTTTAGGATACCAAAAGATAATCAGAAAATCTAAAGTTATATAAAATATTTATATGCCAAAGTATTTTTAAAAGTAGTTAATGACTGGTAGAGTCATGATACATTAGATAAGACTTACAAACACAAGCAAATTAAAACACATTTAAAATCCTCACAGGGTGACAGACATATTATATATACTTGGTAGGGTGTATTGATTTTTTATTTGTGATATCATATTTTATAACTCAAGTAGCAAATGTACTAGAGACCAAATTTAGTCTTCTGGTCTCAACAGTCCCAAGGAGGAATTCTCCCAAGAAGTAATTTTGGTAGTCAATTCAAGTTTTACCTGTAAGCATGCTACAAAAATCAAAGATTAAATTGAAATGTACTTCCTTTCAAAACACCTGGCTCCTTCAGTACCCGCTGCACATTTTTTTCATAAAATCAGTTAATAAAAAGTATAGTGGTCACTAATCAATTAGGCTTTATGAAGCTATCAGCAGCTTTGAGCATGTGTGCTTTTGCAATTAAAAATTAATTCCTTCTTTATTCTACAAACACTTATGAAAAACAAATAGATCAAATTTTTCAGAAAAGGTAATTCTGTCAACAATGTGCTGAATGAATTCAGTTGAGAAGATGCTAATGAGAGAACAAAAGGTAAATCATTCTTCATTAACATAAACATTCTTGACACATTGTTACTTCCTTGTATTTAAGTCCACTGTGTACCCCAATATAGTAGCCAACACAGAAGTATAATTAAGCTAATTAAGTTATTATCTTCAGATGTTATCAGTTACATTCTAATGTTTCCTTTCCCTTGTCAGGGTTGGGGAGGAGGTTAGTGAACACCTTGAAAACATATGGAAATAATTATATTCCATTTTACATAAGTGTATGTGTGTTGATTGAACTAATTTTTCAGTTCACAGAAATAATACTTGCACCAATCTGCCCCTGCCCCCAAAACTGAGGGGGAAAAAAATCAAGTGAAAGCAAAATCTTTCTTAATTAATTGCGTGTTTTGTTTCAGTTGAGGTCCAGAGAATTACTGGCTTGACCTCGAGGACAAACTCTATCTTTTCACACACAATATTTAAACACAGGCATTTCTGAGGATCCGCGCTTGAAAGCTCGCCTCAGTTCCACAAAGGACACTTCTATTTTACCAGTCAGTAAAAGGACCACTCTACCCTCAATTGGAACAAATATTTAAATAACTTTTCTACCAAAGTACCATAGTTGCTAAAATAACTGCTTTGTGAACCACAAAGCTACTGACAAATGAAGTTTGCGCTAATTACATACTGAAGAAAATCCCATTCTGTAATGAATTTTATGTTAATTATTACCCTGATTTTGTATCTGGCTGACAACCAAAAACAACGTGATCTGTTTCTTGACTATTCCAAAAATGAATAACAGCCTTTGACAAACATCCTATTTCTGTGAACAATGTAAATCATATACATGCAGAGTGTCAGGCAATGATTAGAAGTTCAGTTGCCTGCTGTGGATTCTAGACAAATGGCTCACTTAGATTGCTATTCACAATGTGGAGAATGAATAGCATTAGCCCTCTGAGAGGAAGCTAACTAGAAAGTTTCTCTAATGCAATGTAAAAGTTAATTTTTTGCCAAAAGGCCCTAATTAAGTGAGAGCTGAGGAAGTGTCACTTAAAGGTCAAAAATGACCCCTCCCGCAAAATTGAACTTTTAAGTGAGTTTCACAACTAAGTTAGGCTGTTCTATTTTTCAAAACTTATTTGAAAGGGTATAAAGAAGAAATTTTAAAGACCTAAAAAGAGGATAATAATAATTTTACCCAGAAATGTGATAAAATGTTTTCTACAACTGATGCTACTTCTGTCCAAAATGTTATATGTATTGGTGGTAAATTTGTTACTTCCAATCTATAAATTTCCCATAGGCAAACAGCACCAAATTTACATGCTTTACTATTAACCTATACACTGACTTGAAAGGACATCATGGAGATAATCCCCAATATTCTTCCCTCACAAGTCATTAGTACTATTTTAACAATAATACTTGGCATTTAGAAGGATTTTCACATTTTAAAGTTCCTTTTCATGCATAGCCTGTGATGGAATTCTCATAGTGTTTTCAATCTAAAATACTAACAACAGAGCAATAGAGAATAGTCAAGGGGATTTCCTCCACCAACAAACACCCAGCACAACTGAGCATCTATTGTATTCAAGGGCAGGACTAGCTGCCAGAGCGGTGAGAATCAACATGGATCCCCACCTCTTGGAGCAGAGCTACTAATCCAGTAGGAGAGGCAAAATAAGTGCATAAATGTTTAGGATACTAGAGCGGACTTACTTGAAAGCAGATAGAATTGTGCAAACAGATTATGTTGCTCAACTATTTTTCCTCTCTCACCCACCTGCGTTTGCCAAGTGGTGTGTGTGACCTATACCAGGAAGGCTTCTTGGTGATTCTCCCATTCTGCTCAAGAGCCTCCTCCCAACAGAGCAGAAACTCATAAATAAGGGGCACAAAAGGAATTTCCACTTTTCTGGCTATTAATGCAAGTAACAACTCATGTTTAAATTCTTTCCCTTAGACAAATACAGAGATGATGGTGATTCATCTTTCAATGTCTATTTAGAAAATAAAGTTACACTTTAAAAGTTTTATATCCTCTGGCCCGAATGAAGTGCTTGGATTGAGAGACACACCTACCACAGAAATTGTTAGAATTTCACAAACATATTAGGAGGCCGATTTAGCTTCTGGTATTCAGGAAGCTTTGATCTTCCCCCCGCCTCATATTATCTCGTCTAACCCCAGTTCTGACTGTGTTAGTAGGGAATTCCCCTTTCAGGTTTAATGCTTCCACCCACTCAATTACTTATGACCTCAGCAGGTTTCAGGAAATTCAGCAGCATGCACGGTTTTTATTATGATGTAAATCAATGTAATCTCATGTAATAACAATGTTCATGACACCCTTCAATCCTTGCCAAGTGACAAAAATTGTTCTTAGTGGCACCACTATAACAATTCCACTATGTTCATAATTAGTTCATATTATTCAATTTCCTTTATGGTGTAAATTATGTAACAATTAGACTTGCTTATGAAGTTTGAATGTAGTATCCACATAGCAGCACTTTCCAAGTCTTTAAATAAACCAACTTCAAAACGAACTGACATATTTCCGATTTTGCATAACATCAAGTGGGCAAAAATTAAAATATAACTATAAAATACTGTTCACAGAAAGGAGGAATAAAACTTAGGTGGCAATGTGTGTATACCATAGTAAATCACAAAAAAAAGAGCCTTGAATATCAACAAATGTTTAAAAGGTAGGCTCTGCATTTTCAGAGTTTACTGAAAAAAAAAATACACACACACACACACACACATACACACACACATGAAAATTAATTATAGTGCCCTTGGAAATCTTCACCACTGTTCCTGTTCATCCTGGGCACTGGCTCAGAGAAGGATGTGAATGTCCATCACAGAGAGGATGGGAATGACCAAAACAGTAAGAGGTGTTCTGGCCATGGCTGAGAAAGCTAATTTACTCAGTGTCTGGAGGAGAAGTATGAGACAAATATGCAAAAAAACACTTGAGAGAAGACTATAAAGAGGCAGAGTAGAGGTATAAACACAGACACACATGTGTTTGCTTTGAAGGTATTCTAAGGCAGTCTTTTCTGTGATCCAACCATTTCATGGTTGGACAAGAAATCCACTGTCTTGTGAGTACACGTTCTCTAATTACAGTGTGAGTACTTCTGAGCACGAGGTCATCACCATGAAGAGGCACAGAGAGAACGCTCAGAAGTTCCCACCAATCCAATTCTCACAATAAAGTACAAATTACAAATCACAGTTTGATTTGCAAGTAACAGGGACCTGCATCTTGACCTCTGTAGTCAATGATACTGCTTGTTTTTATTTGCAAACTCGTTTTTCTAGACTTTTTTTTTCCTCAAAACCACCGCCAGAGAAACAAACTTTCATAAACTAAATATGACTAACACTTTGAAGTAAAAATATCCACAAAGAAGTTAGGATTGGAAGATGGTCGAATTTCCACTGACCCATAAAACAATTTGGGGTTTATATATAAAGCTCCTTTTTTCTTTACTCATTTAAATCATTACAATTTCATGTTTAGATTTGTGGGCAAAACATCAGTTATTTTAATGTGACTCCTCCACATACTGCCCCAAACAAACTTTAACGCTTGAGGAAGATGTTTGAAGCTTGCCAGACACAGGAAAACTCGGAAAAGTGCCCATACACTCTGCCTACCACCCTATCACTTTGCTTTTCTCTCCTCACAGATATGAGAAAATACCATCCAAACCTCTTCAGAATTGCTCAAACCAACCACCAGCACCAGTCAGAATTAGCAATTCAACTTCCGTGTTTCTAAGAATAAAAAGAAGTGACACTGTACCGGGTCTTCAGTTTTGTGACTATTCAAGAGTTCAGACAGGAAATCTTCATAAAAGTTCTCTCTTCGAACCAGTGGAAATTCCCTCAGGAAAACAAGCCCTTCATTTTGGTCTCCGCATACCTAGAGAGATAAGAAAGCTGAGTTAAGCTTTCAGACAGAGACTGGAGGGAGGGGGCACTGAGGAATTAATGTCTCAGACTTGTAGAAACTTCTTGGATTCATTTCAAGTCTGATTAGGACAATCAAAAACAATGCGTGCAAATACATATTAATGTGAGAGCCACTAAAATATTCTGACATGTGGCTAAGCCTTGGTTGAACGCCAGGAAAGTCCCCAGCTAAGTTGGTGTCTCTTAATTGACTGGTGCACATGTCAAAATTTGGTGATTATAAGTTATCTTTGTGGCCAGGTCCAGTGTGGTCAGGCTCCTAGGCTCATTCCATTGGGCTATCCATCTGCACGTATGTATCCCACAGGGGTCTTGGATCTACAGAGATCTAACCCTAGCCCCACAGATCTGAATCCCACAGACCTGAGCATCTGGTGGATCCTGGTGTCCTTTTAAAAATATAGGATAGGATATCTGGCGTAGGGGAGCTGGCCTGAACCCAGAACTGACTTCCTGAGTCATTCAAGTGCTTTAGAACCAAATGCACTTTAGCTACTCTGGAGGGAGGTATTGGAGAACTTTTATCTAGAGCTTATCACATACCAGGTTCTTTACACATGTTATCTTGCACCAGCCCCAGAAGGTGTCTGTTATTAGCCACACTTTACACATTAGGAACTGGAGGCACAAAGGGTTTCAGGAATTTTCCAAGTTAGTAATTGTTGAAATCAGCACTCAAATACAGGTCTGACTCTAAAACCCTTTTCTTTTCATTATACCACTTTGCTACTGAACTACTCAAACCTTCTCTGGTAGAGGAGAAACTATTAAGTAACTCCCATAAATTCAGGAAATAATCAATTCACCCAGGCTTCCTGTTACCTTTCTGAGCCTTGATGTACTCATCATAAAATGGGAATGATACCAGCATTATTGGATTACTGAGAAAATAGGAGATAACATATATAAAGTACTTAGTGCGTGACTTGCATATGGTAAGTATTCAATAAATAAGAGCCAACATTAACAAAAGCACATTTTTCTAAATTAACAAGTAAAAATCTAAGCTTTTGACATATATGAAATTCTTTGACCATATTTGTAATGGACATTACAAATGGGTATTATATTATCTTCACATTATCTTTATATTGTTTCAACTTTCAAATTTTATACATTTTTAATTGTATACATTTTTTATGGTATTGGTAATATCAGTAACGACTGTGTGGGTGTTCATCACATTAATTTATACCATCTTGAAAGTCTGCAATAGATCATAATAATTAAAATTATTTTAAGTCCTAAGTCTTTCGTAAAGGATTATAATTTTCTTTAACTCCAATATAAGTGGCCTCTGTTGATATACGGTATATTGGTATCATTGTAGTGGACAGAATCTTGGGCCCTTTTACTCCCTACTGTCATATTGGCGAGTCCAGTGTAATCACATGTGCCCTTAAAGGCAGAAATTTCAATGGGGTAAGTGTAGAAAGGAACTCAGAGAGATTCAAAGAATGAGGAGGACTTGACTCACCGCGTCATTTTGGCTTGAAGATGGAGGGGGGCACATGGGAAGTGTGAGAGGAAATGAGGTCTGCCAACAAGTGAGTTTATTGTTTTTGAAAGGACTAATGTATGGTGATTGCTACTGAATCTCACATTTTATGAATCATTTCTCCAGAAATCACAATGGTGGCCAGTTAACTTCAGTCATCCAATGCCAGAGTTCTTAAAAGCTAAAGTCTGAAAAGTAGACTAATAAACTTAGGTGCATTTTCTTTGTGAAAACTTTTGTGCCTGTGGGGAACTTGGTTTGTTGAAGTGATTATAGAAATAGACAGAAATAATTCAAATCTCTTCCAGAAGAGACAGTAAGATGTCAAACATGAGGACTGAATGCTCACTAACCCTCTCAGCAATGGAGGACAATCAGCAAACATTTTGTCCGTTTGGTTTATACTTTAATTCTCAATCATACTGTGTATTTGCTTAAAAAAATTTCTGCCTGTTTGTTTTTCCCAAGAATGTTGACATTTTGTAAGACTCACAATTCTCGCCAAGATACTCAATTTATCAAATACTTTTATGTGACATCACGGCAGAAGTCTTTAATTAAACTAAATCCAATTTAATCCTGAGAACAGATAAGCATGTGAAAGTTAAATGAATGTAATTAAGACCATTGTACCGCATAGATATCTTGTGCATATCTGTTTCTAATTTAATTTCTATCCATGAACACTATTACAAATTAGGCAATTTAAAATACCCAAATTACTTCGGTCACTATTAATTTAGTTTTGAATATCTATATTTTGTGTGTTATAAAAACAATGTGATAATGAAGGAGAGATACCAAGATACATAAATATATAAAAATTATTTTTGTGTGTTTTAAAAATGATTATTTAAATCCACAGTAGGGCATTTATGCATTCATTCTTTTATTCATTACTATGTATAGACATTTACTAAAGTCCTATGACTTATCAAGTGCTTCAGTATAGGACATATTTCTAGATTCACACCAAAAGCCATAATTTTCTCATCATCTTTGGTATACACCTAGAGTAAGTGCATTTCCAAGCCTCCTTTCCAATTAACGTGTTCAAGAGGAAGTGTTAGCTGGTAGAAGTAATGGGTGCTACTACCAGGCCTGGCCCATAGCAATCTCCTACATCCCCTCCCCCAGGCTCTTTTGCCCCCAGGCCTGTCTGGAATGAAGATAGCATCAGGGAGATCCTGGAATCAGTTGTTAGGGTAGAAGAGGTTTCTAATACTGTTAAGTGATCAAGAAGTAACAGTCCACTGTGTTGGAACCATTCTCTATTTTATACACTATTTGTTTCTGTGCTTAAACTACCCTAATTAATACAATGAAAAAATCTAGGTGAGCACAGAATGCTACAGGAATACAGAGCAAGGGTGATTACCTCTCCTGGGAAGAATTAGGAAAGGCTTTAAAGTGGGGTTGAAGTAAGAGTGGGATTTACCAGCTGAACAAGAGGGAGAGGAGTGAGGAAGGGAAAGATTGCTCTTCCAGGGAGAGGTTAACAGCCTGGAAAAAGCATGGAGGCTTGAGGCATCTTGTTTTGTTTGGTGTGCTTCAAGTAGTCTGAAATGGCAAGAGTATGGTGTACATGAGAACAAGTGATGGAATTGAATTTGTATAATGGGCAAAGGCCAGATTGTGTACCATGGTTACTGAAAAACCTAAGCTAGAGCCTTGCTTGGACTTGTGACTTTGGAAGGGTACTCTGGTGGTTCTGAAGAGGTAAGACTAGAGATGATGTGAGCAGTTTTCAGATCACTGAAATTATTCAGATGAAAGCTCATGAAAACCCTAGGGGCTGACAGGGAAGGAAAGGATCATAAAATCTGGTAGACAAAAGAATGTAGGGCATGTCTCAGTTTATGTCTATATTTTCTGCCTGGATTTGAGTGGAAGAGCAAAGTGAACAGCAGTATATTCAACAAAATAGGAAATACAGGAGGAGGGCCATGTGTACTGGTTAGATGGGGAATCTGGTTCCAGAGAAGTAGAGTCCAAACTGCCTTGGGCAGAGAAAGGTGAGTTTCAAGCATAAGAAAAAGGATAGTATCTAGATAATAGGTAAATGTTAACATCACATGGGAAGTACATGATATTTGGCATTAGTATGTTTGCTAAGGGAAAGAAAGGAGTTTGAGAAGATATGAGAGCTGAGATGAGAACCCTGGGAAGCACTAATGTTGAACACATAGCATGGATCCATCTCTAATGGTCTATTTATGCACATAGAACACATTATCAAGAAGAACCCAGACTTACAATGATTTTCACCATTCTTAGTCTTCTCTTTATTGTTTTTCTATGAAAATACATTTATGACAGCATTATATCAAATTTATTCCAGGCAATTAGTTATTTGAGGACAGAGTCCATGGCTCATGGGGCTATCTAATCTCAGTCTCTGAATTCAACTAAATTGCTGACTACAACTTGAAAATTTCCAGGATAATGCAGATTTTAGGAATTCTATTTCCTATGGTCAGACCAGATTTTCTGACTTTTGGTTTGAAAAACATGATTCCTTTACATTTGCTATGTCAAAACTCCCCTTGCAGTTACAGGGTAGTTAGTATATCATAAAAATGAATCAAAACAGGAACCCCATCATTATGTTTTATGGTTTTGTGGTGTTAGTTTTGCAGATAGAAAAGGAAAGCTATGAGAAGTGGTGGAATTTTGTACATGGCCAGTGGCTATGCTAGTGACTAGAGACAGTGTCTCTTAAAAACTCAAAGTCTCTGCTGAGTTGAAACCCAAATATTCACCCATATGAATAGAGCAAGAAACAAATAAATCATTACTGAGACACCTATCTGTTCCTGCAGAATTTGTAGACTCTGAAAGCCTGTACCCAGGAATCATGAAAACTGACATGTGCTAGAATTTGTACCCTGTGTTGAAGATTGCTTCTCCAATTAAAGTCTGATTTCCTGCTGCAACCAGTGACTCCTCTTTTTTTCTTATTGTTCAAATAAATTTGTCTCCATTTCCCTGCCACCACTTTCCCCTGCTCCACCTACCCTCACCTCCCAAAGAACCTACACAGACTGAAAGTAAAGGGATGGAAAAAAATATTCCGAGCAAAGAGACAGGAAAAAAAAAATGCAAGGATAACAATACTTATATCAGACAAAATAGGTTTCAAAACAAAGGCCATATAAAGAGACCCAAAAGGACATTTCATAATACTCAAAAGAATAATCCATCAAGAAGACATAAACATTGTAAACCTGTATGTACCCAACATAGGAGCATCCAAATATATAAGGAAAATATTGGAGGACTTCAAGAAAGATAGACAGCAACACACTGACAGTAGGGGATTTTAACGCCCTGCTGTCAACAAAAGATAGATCTTCCAAACAAAACATCAACAAGGATATTGTAGAACCAAATGATGCATTAGATCAAATAGACTTAACTGACAAATATGGAAACTTTCATCCCAAAGAAGC